TACCATTACCATTACCATTACCATTACCATTACCATTACCATTACCATTACCATTACCATTACCATTACCATTACCATTACCATTACCATTACCATTACCATTACCATTACCATTACCATTACCATTACCATTACCATTACCATTACCATTACCATTACCATTACCATTACCATTACCATTACCATTACCATTTACCATTACCATTACCATTACCATTACCATTACCATTACCATTACCATTACCATTACCATTACCATTACCATTACCATTACCATTACCATTACCATTACCATTACCATTACCATTACCATTACCATTACCCATTACCATTACCATTACCATTACCATTACCATTACCATTACCATTACCATTACCATTACCATTACCATTACCATTACCATTACCATTACCATTACCATTACCATTACCATTACCATTACCATTACCATTACCATTACCATTACCATTACCATTACCATTACCATTACCATTACCATTACCATTACCATTACCATTACCATTACCATTACCATTACCATTACCATTACCATTACCATTACCATTACCATACCATTACCAACCATTACCATTACCATTACCATTACCATTACCATTACCATTACCATTACCATTACCATTACCATTACCATTACCATTACCATTACCATTACCATTACCATTACCATTACCATTACCATTACCATTACCATTACCATTACCATTACCATTACATTACCATTACCATTACCATTACCATTACCATTACCATTACCATTACCATTACCATTACCATTACCATTACCATTACCATTACCATTACCATTACCATTACCATTACCCATTACCATTACCATTACCATTACCATTACCATTACCATTACCATTACCATTACCATTACCATTACCATTACCATTACCATTACCATTACCATTACCATTACCATTACCATTACCATTACCATTACCATTACCATTACCATTACCATTACCATTACCATTACCATTACCATTACCATTACCATTACCATTACCATTACCATTACCATTACCATTACCATTACCATTACCATTACCATTACCATTACCATTACCATTACCATTACCATTACCATTACATTTACCATTACCATTACCATTACCATTACCATTACCATTACCATTACCATTACCATTACCATTACCATTACCATTACCATTACCATTACCATTACCATTACTATCACCATCACCATTACCATTACCATTACCATTACCATTACCATTACCATTACCATTACCATTACCATTACCGTTACCATTACCATTAGCATTAGCATTACCATTACCATTACCATTACCATTACCGTTACCATTACCATTGACATGACCATGACCATGACCGTGACTATGACCATGACCATGACCATTACCGTATCCATTCCCATTCCCATTTACCATTACCATTACCATGACCATGACCATGACGATGACCATGACCATGACCATGCCCATGCCCATGACCATGACCATGACCAGTAGCAGTGTCATTACCATTACCATTACCATTACCCATTACCATTACCGTTACCATTACCATTACCATTACCATTACCATTACCATTACCATTACCATTACCATTACCATTACCATTACCATTACGATTACCATTTCCAGAACCATTACCATTATTATTATCATTACTATCATAATCATCAACATCACCGTCCTCATCTTCATCAGCCGTCACACCCTTCACACGTTTCGCCGTTTCGCGGCCCCAAAGGGAACTCCACCGAGGGTCCCAGCGGCTGCGTGTACAGACGTCCCGCCGCACATGGACACACTCCTCACACGTTTCAGGATGCCATTGGGAGTTCCTTCAAAGGCCCCAGTGGCTGCGTTCAAATACGTTCCCGCCGCACTTCGGCACACTCCTCCAACGTTTCGCGACCCCTCAGGGAGCTCTACCAAACGCCACAGTGGCTGCGTCCACATGCATCCAGGCCGCATATTCCGGCGCTCCCGTTATACATTTCGTGGCCTCATGAGGGGTCCATCAGTTGCCCCAGTGGCTGCGTCCACATGCGTCCCCGCTGGACATTTCGGCGCAGACGTCACACGTTTCGTGGCCCCTTGGGGAGCTCCACGGAAGGTCCCAGTGTCTGCGTTCACATGCGTCCCCGCCGCGTATGTCGTGACCCCCCATCACACGTTTCGTGGCCTCATACGGAGCTCCATTGACAGCCCCACGTGCATCCTCGCACATGTCGGCGCATCCTTCGCGCACGTTTGGTGGCCCCCGAGGGAGCTCCACCGAAGGCCCCAGTGGCTGCGTTCACATGCGTCCCCGCCGCACGTTCCGCACGTTTCGTGGTCCCATAGGGAGTTCCACCGAAGGTCCCAGCGGCAGGGTCCACATGCGGTTCCCCGCCAAACATGCCGACGCACCCCTGACACGTTTCGTGTCTTCATAGGCAGCTCCACCCAAGGACTCAGCGGCAGCGCTCGCGTTGCTAG